GATTGCTCTGACGGCAGTCAGGAGTCTGACACCAGCCACCCCTCTTAAAGGGCACTCTCTTTTTCCCTCCGGTTCAGTTATTTGGTGACCAAACTGAACTTGAAACAAGAAACAGTGTACCTTTAAAAGAGCCCTGCCTCACTTTACCTCCTGTGGTTTGCAGTACAGCCTAGATCTTAGCTCTTAGTTCTGACCCTAAACCCCTAATGCTGATGACAGTCTGCAAAATACAAATATCCTAAGGTCTTGACACCAGTCTGGCATAATCAGCTTTGAACTCATTTACGGCTTTAGGCTTTCTACAGTCCATTGCTCACTTGCAAATCTTTCCACCTTTTCATTCTCTATAATGGTTTATAAACATATCAGGAGCCAGGGGGGATAATTAGCTATGGTACTAAATCTTATAAGATGATGTTAAGTTATTTTAAAGAGAACAAAGGTTTATTTTTGTTTTTCTTAACTTGAAAGCCTGGAGGCCTACTTCATGGCCAGTAGAATCCTTTTAGCCTAATGACCTTGGAAATTCACTCCAGAGTCCAGAGTCCAGTGTAAAAGGCGTCATCTCTGGTAAGAGGGATGAGGGAATTGTGCATGGAGAATGGGGCAATGGGAGCAACACGGGAGTGAGTCCAATCAAGAGGTCTAGTTCTAGTCTTGCCTCTGCAATGAAGGGCACGGCATGAACTATTTATTCCTCACTAAATTGAAACGATGGCGATTGAGAGTGTTAGATGTTCTTTCTAAAATCCCAGAATACTAGTTCTTCCAGAACTAGTTAATGGGCATTCATTCCTTAAATGAGAGACATGCTTCAAGTGAAAGGTCAGGAACCCTGGTGGCCAGGTAAGTGCTGGCCTGCTAATTTCAAGGTCAAGGTTCAAACCCACCGGCCAGGCCATGCGGAAGGAGAAAGGTGAGGCTCTCTGCTCCTATAAATATTCACAAATCCTAGACAGGATCTCTATGAGTTGGAATTGACTCTATGACAGTGAATGTTCAAGTCAAGTTTATGGGCATTCTGTAAAATATTTTAAATAAGCACAATGCTACTGGATTTGATTGCTGCAAGACTTCCTAATGCCTTTATTATGTAAATATTTTAGAATAAACTCTCTATTTGCATTTCCTCAAGTCCAGTGTATTCGACTTTATTTCTCTTCACTCTTAGTGGGTTTCTGATTATCCTTGATAGGGTTATTTAAAATAGTAGTTAGTGTTATTGTGCTTCCTTTGAAAAGCTATTGCTCAACCAAGGGTATGTATGTCATAAATAATTGAAGTGTGAAATGTGATCATATTTCCAAAAATTTAATTTAGCACAGACTCATTTGTAATAGCCTCATGTGAAACTAGGAATCAGTTCCCCCTGGAAAGGGGGACCCAATCACAAGGATCTTCATATAACCTCCTCCCTGGGGGATGGACAACAGAAAAGTGGGTGAAGGGAGACATCGGACAGTGCAAGATATGACAAAATAATAATTTATAAATTGTCAAGGGTTCATGAGGGAGGGGGGAGCGGGAAGGGAGAGGAAAAATGAGGAGCTGATGTCAGGGGCTTAGGTGGAGAGCAAATGTTTTGAGAATGAGGAGGGCAATGAATGTACAAATATGCTTTACACAATTGATGTATGTATGAATTATGATAAGAGTTGTATGAGCCCCTAATATAATGATTGTTTAAAAACAAACTAGGAATCAAAGAAGTAGATATCCTCTGATTCCAAGACCCATCATATAAATATACTCCTATATCTCAAAGAAAAAAAATTAAAAACCTATGCTGATAAAGAAAAATAAGATACCTGAAACATTTTCAAAAAGATGGCATAGGAATTTATATACATCTACATAAAAGTATTTAGACCATTGGCAAGTATTGTCAACATCATTTTTAAGTAAATCTGTAAATTAATAATGGCTTCTTACAAGCCAGATAGCATCTATTCAAGAAAAACTCAATGTTATGTGGATTTCTCATTTTCTCTATGCTGATCCTTTTCTTTGCAGCTCTTCAATGGCTTTGAAAATCACCAGCCTTACAATGAGACTTCCTCTTTTTCACTGAGGCTCCCCTTGCTCAAGCATAATGTGCTGCTACCTTGTCCTGATACCTTGTCCAAAGTACATACAGGTAACAACAAAAAAAGTCCAGGTATAAGCAGCAACATTCTTTATAGTTTTCCACAGATGGAGAATATGGATAGCTGGTTGCATTTTCAAACCCGAGGGAACTCCTCCTCGAAACGTCAGGATTTGTATAGAGCCAACACTTGAGAGTCCTTGTCTTGAGCAGCTCCAGGGCCAAATCTCTTACCTTCTACACATTAAGAACTTAGGATCCCTAGGACCTAAATCTAAGTCAAAGTTTTAACCGCTCACCACAGCATTTATTGTCACTTATAATCTTGATTCTTTTTTTTCTTAATTGGGACTTTTATGTGTTTGTTGATAGATTTGGTTTGCATTCGTTTGATTGCTTTTAACCTGGTTATCAAAGAACAAACAAACAAGCACAATTGTAGCGTGATGGGGCTGGATGGATTTAGTCAGACACATTTCCAGCTGTTTTATGACTTATGGTCTTTGTAGGTGTTGGATATATTGACCGAAAGACCCACCCTAACTTTTTTTGCATGCATTTCTTCATATTTCAGCCTTTATTTCATCCCATTCCACCACATCCATAATTAATCAGTCAGTTCTGGTAATACTTTAATGCATACTTGTTATGGTATATATTGCAAATGCATTGCCATTATTTGCATACATCCTCAAGGGCTGTAACTATGTGCCATCAATCTTTATACCCACACCACTTAATTTCTAGATGAAGAAATATCATGCAGAAATAAGATCCAACACCTAACACTGTTGAACCAGTTTTAAAATACAACCTCCCAATTCCTTGGACTTCTCATTCCAATCATTCTCACTCTGTAGGAGAAGAAAACTCACCCGAGGAATTTACTAAAAATGGAGACTTGGTGCTTCCATGGGAACTGCCTTGGATTCAGTATGTCTGAAGTGGAGCCCAGGAATATAAATATTAAACAAATGTCTCTGGATGTTTAAATATCTGTGTTCTATATAGCTAGTGATTTCTTATCATAGTTGGAAGATTAATAACAAACACACTCCTGCCATGAATTTTTCAAACGCTTGATTTATAATTTTCTAAGCAGATTAAAAAGAAAAAAGTAACCTAAATAATTAAGGGTTCTGCTTATTTTGTTTATACACCTTCCTGTGTAATTATTCTATTTCATTTTTTCCTAATAGATGATCATTGATAAACTTTTTTCAGCTCAGTCTTTATTTTCTATGATACAATAAAATGTGCTCTCCTGGTAAAACTCAGGCATTATTTGGGAACCTTCTGTATTAATTTTCACTCAGGAGGAATGAGAGAATTCTACCCCAAAACTAGGTATAAATCATAGAAAGCTTTGTCCAGAAACAGGTGTTTTTGTTTGAATGATGACTCTTGCCCTCCTTCGATCTCCATTCATAAACATGTCACATATGAATGAGCCTCTATATTCTAAATCAAATAGGGGTTTGCATTGATTCTTGTCATTTCTTTTCTTTCACTGAGAAAATTCAGTATATTATAACTACATGTAAATACACATCTTTTCCAGGTAGAAGATAGCTACATATATATCCGTATACTACACACGTATCTTGTCAGCACTAAAAGCCACATGCATTGAATCAAGAAACGAATCGCTATGAAAAGAGATGCCAAAGCTTTGAGTGCCTTCATCTTGCACATATGCAAGCCCCTGGTTGTTGGAGACCATTTTTAGCCAGTATCTGCATCCCTGATGTATGAGCTTGGCTTCAATGCTGGCTAGCATTCCTTTTCCAGATGGCTGTTATTACCACCTAATTACTTTTAAAACCTGATTTTATTTCAAACAATTTGCCATTGCCAAGGTTCACCTCTAAGCATAACATTGCTGAGAGCAAATATTTCTGATTTTATGTCTATGGTTACAACAGGTCAAGAATAGCCTTCGCCAGTGCGACTGATCCTTGGGCAAGATCCATAGCTGAACTACAAAATAGATTAAAATTTTAACAAAGCTATAAATAATTTTAGGACAAGTATTAATACCTAAATTATTTATTTTATTAATTCTAAACTTTCAACAGTACTGAGAAAAAAAGTGGGAAGAATGGGAAACATCTATTGATCCATTCACTCATTTGTTGACTCCCTGATTTATTAATTCTTCCAATATTCTGTTGCCACTAGGCGCCTCAGAGTTGGTTCTGACACATAGATCCGATCTACAATAGAAGAAAACGCTGGCCCTACTGCGCTGGCTCCACAGTTCATTTGTGTGCTTGAGTTCACTGCTGCTCTCACTGCGTCATCTCATCTCATTGAGCGTCTTTCTCACTGTCTTTCTGCTTCACCAAGCATAGTGTCCTTCGCCAGGGACATCCTGGTGATGCCATGCCCCAAAGTACGTGAGGTGAAGTCACACCATCCTTGCTTCACAGGAGTATCCTGGCTGTATTTTTCCCAAACGGGTCTGTCCATTCTTCTGGCAGCCTACGGTCTATTCACTCTTCTAGCTACCACCACAGCCCAAAGGCATCCGCTCTTCTTCCGTATTCATTGCTCATTGTCCAGCTTTCATAGGAAGCAGCTGAAAATACTAGGGCTTCGGTGAGGTGCACCTAAGTCTTCCAAATTATATCTTTGCTTTTTAGCACATTAAAGGGGCCCTTCGCATCAGATTTGTCCAATGCAGTAGGTTGCTTGATGCCCGGACTGCTGCTTTGGGGGCCATTGATTCTGGATCCACATGAATGACATCGTTGAAGACTTCAACTTGTTCTCTAGCGTGACGCCTTGAGAATTTCTGTGTTCTTTGTGTTGAAGTGTAATCCATAGGATAACCCAATATTTACCGAGAGCTTATGATGGACTCAATAAAATGAAGTCAAGAGATCCTTCTTCTCGTAGAAGTTGTGTTTTGTGAAAAAAGAGTCAATTATAAATGTCAACAAGTATATGAAGAAAGAAAATTTATATTAGATTCCCCGCTTTGGGTACCTGTGGGGGTGAATTCAACAGAGTAATACTGTCAATTACATCAACTCTATTCTCTTTATATAATACATACACAATGGCTTGTTCATGTTTAAAATTATTTTAAAATCTAAAACAAATTTAACAATAATTATTAAACTCAAAACTCTAGAATGGGAACTTATGCCTACTTAAGTGTGTGCACCTGTGTGTGTGTGTGTGTGTGTGTGTGTGCATGTCTTTTTAAAATGTTTGAGTCATTATGGATTCTTCCAGATTAAAGGGGATTGTCTACGTTGTATGCTGCTCTGAAAAACACCATTTATGTAGAATTCCCAGCACTAAGATCCTTCAAAAATAAACTTTCTGCTTTTGTACTTGCTCAACGTATCACCCAGGTTCTGACTTTTTAACCAGTTGATTAGAATGGAAGTTGCTGTTTCCCTCCAACAGAACCTGTAAGCGTGTCCCCACGTGTGCTGCGGTGTTAGGGATGTGCTGCCTTCGTGGCCAGCCTCTCCATGTGTCTCTGTAACTAGCGAAATCCGACTCTCATTTTCCTCCTCTGCTGTGCTTCTCAGACCACAAGAGCCAGCAGCTAGGGAACTGGGATGAGCATAGTATTTAATGCCTTTCCTCCTTGGAAGAGTCATTTCCTGACTCCTACAGGCTACATAATCATAATGCTTCCTGTGTAAAGTATAAGGTGGCTATAGCTCAAGGGAATTATAAATCACTTCATACTTATTATCATGAGTAATTTTTATTTCTTTCTACAGCTTATCATTGGTAAAAATAAATAAGTAAAAGTGGACATGTTATTTTAAAAGTGATGTCATTTCCATATTCCAGACACTAACCTCTTCCCTTGATTGCTGAACCCTGTGACTGAAAATGACATTTAGTCTCTGGAGAGAATACACTGAGCCATGCTATAGCACATTCTTGCCACAATTTCAATCCAGGGATAAAAATCAAAAGCTATATTTTCTATATACATAAATGTTAATATTAATTTGATTTGGGAACCTATCCCAGTTTTAATATATGCATCTTTACTCGTTTAATCGATGGTATGATTTCACATATAGTAATCAGGTGGTCCTAACACATTTGGGATTTTTTTAATAACCAAAAAGCATCACTGATATAATTCTAAAGGATTTGCAAAAGTTTAGTTTGACATTCTAGTTAGATATTCCACGTTATTCCTCAGGAAGGACAGCTTCATCTTTACAGTTGCCATCCTTCTTCTTAGAAAGTTGATTTCGGGGCCTCAAACTACAATTGAAATGTCAATGCATCAAGATGGATGGACCTGCGGTTTGTGCAGTTTTCTGTGTTGTTCCTAATTGGGTTTGTAGTTGTTTTTATTAACAAACTGCTCTATATAATGAATTGCTTTTATTGAGGGTTTCCATCAGCGAAAAGACATTTGTCAATAGCCAGCAGTCTTCTACTCACGTTTCTCTTGTTCTGCTTCTACGCCTTCACTTTCCGTGTCACTTGGCAAGATCCATGGCTGATGAGCCACCTGCAGCTGCTTTAAGGACTCGTCCTGCAAAGAAAGAAGTATTTGAGATGGGACCCGAGATTGACTCCGTGGACACCAATCCCAGAGACGAGTCAAGCTCCAGGAACAACATGTTCAAAACCCATCCTAAGAGCAAGCTGATTTTTCATATCATTGACATGCCACAGGCTCTGAACTCACGTTATTTTCACATTCCCCATTTAATAAGATTTAGAATCTTAATCGGTGGAACTGTCTGGACTCTGTTCTTTTCTGAATTAATATTTGTTACGGACACACTGGCACGCCCTCTGGGAAATGTCGCCGTGGAAAAGCCAACCTAAAATGGCACACAGTGTTCATCTCTGCTCTCGAGTTGTCAGATTCTCTTGACTGCAAATGACGGTTAGCTGCTCTTCGCTGTCAGTCGGACTTTCCTGCTTCCTTCCTGCAGCGCGGCCTCTCGTGGTCTTCCTGACGCCTCCTCCCAGAAGGCCTTTCTGGGATGTCCTGAAGCCGAGTCTCAGCGCCTGACATTCCCACGGCCATGGGACTTGAAGTTGACCAGACGCCCTAACCAAAAAGGCTGGGGGGTTGAGTCCCCTCAGGTGCCTGAAGCAAAGGTCCGGGGATTTACTTCTGGAAAATGTGTCGCTGACAATCTGAAGACCTGCAGTTGCGCGTTGACACACGGGGAGTCACGTGGAGCAGGGCAGGCCTGGCAGACGGCTTGCTGGTTCTGGAGTCTCTCCGATCGTTTCCTCTTCTTCGGACTCTTCGCACCAGCTCCCAGCCGGAGTGAGCGTCATAAGATGACATGGACAAGCAATAATGGACTCATCATTCTGAGCAGTTCTCTCATTTTTCCCAGGATCACATCTACAGCCAAGAGCCTCCATGAGCCCTATTCAAAGGAAGCCCTATCCACATTCTACCTTGTCCGACACTACTATTCCAACTGTGATTAACAAGTAGCTCCTCAATTTTCAGCATTCTCCCTGATGTTGCCAACATATTTTTACATGTTAAGGGTCTTTTTGGTTTTCCTCTGTAGAAAAATTTCTACACATGTAGTACTTCAAGCATTTCTACTTATCTTTTAAGGTTCATGTGTCATGTCTACAAGGAAGAGCCAATTCTTTATTTTTTATATGACTGCTGTCACAGCATAACAATTCATTCATAGCAATCATCTGTCCAAAGATAAAACACTATAGCAGTCAGCATTGATTAAGTCTTAACATAAAGAAAACCCAAACAACTGGATCAAAAACCATCATGGTAAAAGCAAAGAAATTAACGCTAATTGATGAAATTAAAACTAATTGCATTGGTTTGGGATCATCAATTAATCAATCATCAATCCATTCCTATGGAAGTAGCAGTCAAGAAATTAACTAAGACATTACATTGAGGAAAATCTTGGGGTGGGGCGGTTAGTATTAAGCTGCAAAGATGCCATTTTTATTACTCAGGAGCACCTGGCCCGAGCTAAAGTCCTCCCATCACTTCATATGCCTGTGACAACTGGACAGTTAAAAAGGAAGATAACTAAAACCCGGTCACATAGCAGACAACCCACTCAGCTCCTCTAGAACAAAGACCCCCGAGACCGCAGGAAACCGCAGAGACGATGGCCCTTGGACACCGAGCTCCAGAGGAAAGGCCAGAGAAGGATATTAAATGCCCACTGGAAGAAGCAGCTGAATCAGAGAGGTCAGAGAAGAGACGGAGGGAATGAGCGCATCGTCCGCTGGCCTGAGCTTTGGCCAGCAGAAGTCAATCTGGACAGCAAACAGGTACTCCATTTCACTCCGCCAGAACCGTGCAAGAGGGAACACCCGGGGCTGGCGACCAGAAAGGTGCCATTCTCCCTCGTTCCCCATACACTCCTGGTGACCATAAATGTAGCCAGCTTCGCTCTCACCCACCCCGTGAGCAATAATACACCCCCGACCAATAATCGGGTCCACCTGAGGCAGGAGCGAGGCCCTCATGGACCAGGCACTGGGTGCACACCACCACTGTCTGGAGACATGTGAACTCTTGTCTCATCAGACCTGCAGGACACACATGCCAAGCTGGCTGCCTGCCCCGGCAACCCCTGTGTAGGCACGAACTCCAGAGCCAACCAGCCTGCCTGAAGCTTCCTCTGGGCCTGGGAAAACTCCTTTCGGACCAGGCCGTCCAGTCCCAGACATCTTCAAGACCGGCAAGAACTCTGCCTAGGACTGGGCTATTTAACGTAAAGTTGATGGTCTGAAATGTAAGTCCTCTCCACCCGCTACACACACCTAGTTCACAATTTAAAATATCATTAAATAAATGAATAAAAGCCTATACAGCCTGACCTCTAGGAAACATGACATCACTGAGCAGTAAGGTCCTCAGAACGATTCCTGCATGAGAAAAACCATCCTGCCACTCTTCCCTGGACGGTGATGATCAGTTCAAGTCTAGATGTTCAGAAAAGCATCATTTTCCGTCGTTCAGAAGCAGGGGTGGAAATAAATAGGTGGAAGGCAGGAGTTATTTTAAGGCAATGAAATTGTTTTTGATGGATACAAGGCATAACGTATTTGGCAGAACTTTACAACCCACCACAAAGAGAGATTTTTATGACCAGTTTTAATCATCGACTAATAGGTGATAAATACATAAATGACTTAAATGCAATATTTCTTACATTATATGAATATTATCAAAATTGTTTTGCAAAGTCTTTTCACATTGAATTACATTGTTACAGCACTCTTGATAAACTGAGGTAAGCCTTAGGGGGGAAAAAAGTAAGCTTGAATGCAATCAAACTTAAAATAATTTAGGAGGTTAAAGGAAACTCAAGATTGAATCAAAATGTAAAAAATAATCTACATAGATTTTAGATATATAAAACAACCTCACTGAAATAGGAGAAGGAATAGGTCTTACTTCAGTAACTTTGGAAACAATGGCGTGTGTAAGAGAAAAGACAGAAAGAAGCTGCACACACACTTTGATCATGGGAGCCTGCATTCACAGTTCCGCAAACACTATACAAGTCTATTGTCATGGAATACTTCAGACAATGTGTGACAGATGGCGGGATCAGTCTTTTATGGCTGAGGTGGGAACCTGACCCTGTCTCTCGGTCTCCCATCCCAGGACTTCAACCTCTAATGTTTCCCGTTCTAGTTATTCTGCTTGACCCAAAACTTCAATAAATTTGCTCTGATCGGATATCACTTTGTTATACTTGACTGAAAACAATTTGAAGCCCTGCTAAACCCTAACCTACTACCATCGTGTCCATTTATCTCATATTGACCCTCGATAGGGTTACCAAGAAAGCAAAGCTTTACGGAAAGGAAGACACCGTTGTATCTTTCGCCTGCAGTGTGAGGGGCTGGCCAGTCATTGACTTTGTAGGCAGGATAGAATTTTTCCTGTGGGTTTCCAAGACAGTAACTCTTTACAGGAGTAAAAAGACTTGTCTTTCTCCATGGAGTGGCTGGTGGTTTCGAACTGCTGACCTTGTGGTTAGCAGCCCAATGTGTAACTTACTACACCACCAATGCTCCCCCCAAACACACATCCCCGCCCCAGTCTAATTGTAAAGAAAATCAGACAAATCCTAATTGAAGAAAATTCTACAATACACCTGGAGAGTACTATTCAAAACTGCTAAGGTCATCAAAAGCAAAGGTAGTCTGAAAGATGATCAGCTGTGAGAGAAGCCTCAGGAGACAGATTATCTAAATGTATTGTAGTGTCTTGGATGGGCTCCTGGAACTGAAAAAGGACATTAAGGAAAAGACGAGAAAATCTGAAAGTGTGAACGTTGGCTACTAATAACATACCTAGATTTGCCATTACCAATGATGAATGCCCACACCAGCAAAAGTCATTAGTAATAGGTGAAACTCCTGGTGGGGCATCCAGGAACTCTCTGCATTATCTGTGCAAAGATTGTGCAAACCTAAAACTCTTTTCATAAATTAACGTGAGAAGTCAAATTAGAGCAAACTTATTCCCTTTTTATAACAAAAAGTCGAAAGTTGGAGACATTTTTAGGACCAGCAACTGTGAAAAAGTGTCTGGTATCTGATGAAAAAGGAGCCAGAATGGAGTCACAGCAAAACGCTCACCAAAAGCTTCCTAGCGTCTGGCCCTCAGGAGGCTGTGGTTGGTGAAATGCTCCCCTGAAAAGCACAATTGGATGAAAACTTTAACTCCTATCCTGTGAGATGGACATCTCAGTGAAAGCCCCTTGATCACAGGGCGTTCTTTGTAATTCGGGGTGTGGTACGCCCCCTCTTGGGGTGGAATGAGAGTGTACAGGGGTGCTGAAATAGATGAACTGCAGAACCGACTGGGGAGCTCTGGGTGCTGCTTACAGGAACCCTCCTGGCTGCTGCCTGAAAGGTTGGTGGTGCCAAGCCACCCCGAAGCCCCTAAGGAGAAAAGCCTGGCTTCCGTTTCTGAAAATCAGCAACTTCAAGCTGTTCAGACTTGAAATTTATAATTTAATTATAAACTAATGTCTATGTTTAGGGTTTAATTCGAGTGACACCAATTTTCTAAGTTATTGGATTTAGATCCACAAGGCTTTATCAAAGAAGGAGCCTAAATGTGAAAGACCTTTGATGTGAAATTTCAAAACAGTAGAGAAGACAGACAAAAGCCCACCACTGTCAAGTCCATTCTGACCCATACCAACCCTGTAGAACCGAGTCAAACTGCCTGGTAGAACTTTCAAAGCAGCAAATAGTTAAAGACGCCGACTGCTAGATAGAGCAGCTGGGAGGTTTGAACAATCAACCTTCCAGTTAGCAGCTGAGGCTTTTAACCAATGTCCCACCAGGGATCTATGTACGGAGGACAGCAACGGTAAAATCTCAATTTTTTTTATGTACCCCGAAGGGAAATCGCATTCTCGCAGTCATTCAAAAGTAGATCACACTGTCTCTGATGTTTTAAAATGAAAAACAGTCTTTTGGGTTTTGTAGGAATAAAATCAACTGGTTGAAGCTCCTCATTGAAAACAGAAAAGTTTAAAGTGTGCA